AATCTAAAATCTAAATTGTTCAGCATTAAAACATGAAATAAATATTTTTTTGAAATAAAATCTAAACTATTCATTTATGACAACATACAAAACTGGCTCTTGATTGTTTTGTTACCTTTTCTAAAATGCATGTCTTCTCTTTTCTTCTTTTTTTCCAGAAAATAATTAATTACATCAATTTATTTTACGCATGCATCTTTACTTAAGAGCTAACTTTTATAATTTTCATATATTTAATCTTCTAATTCTCAATTCTTAATCTTGACCTTTCAAATTTCTCACAAATAAAAAAAAATACAAATGAGTAATTATTCCTTAAAGATAAGAAATTAAAGTAGATACATGTATCTTTTAAAGTTAATTTTCATGCTTTATCTTTTTTATATTTATTTTAATAGTATTTGATCTTTCAAATTTCCATGTAACTTTTCCTATTACTGCAATTCTTGTCCTATAAATTCAACCTTTCCAAGGAAGACTTTTATTTACTACTACAATTTTTGTGTGTTGGAGCTCTAAATCGGTGAAATAATGTCACAATTTGTTGTGAAAGTTGTGAGATCTCCCTTATACAATCATGGGAATAGACAAGAATTTAGTTATTGTAGCATTGGAGCTTGATGTATTAGTTTTATTCTTGTTTGTAGTAATTAGAATTATAATGAGACTTTTCTATCTCGCTTTATATAGTTGAATTGCTGATTTGTTAGCAACTTGCTTTAATTTTAGATTTTTTTTTGTATGCTCAAATATAGACTATTTGTTACGTTAATTTTTATTTCAGTTTTCATTATAGAGCAAAGCAAACCTAATTGGCTTGTTCATGTGTTTCTTTCTTCTTATGTTTGTTCTTTGTACTTCTAATTTTACATGTATATTAACTTTCACCTTTAAGAATGAATTTGATAGAATGTTTACTCATTTTAAGAAGGTGAAACATATAGCATTAGGTTAATGGTGGATAAGTCATGTATGAAGAGACAATTAAATTCTATAAAAATATAGTAGTATGTTTATAAATATTCTGATTTTCAAACTATAAATTATAAGACTTTTTACACCTTAATTTTTAATATTTATAATTAAATAATTAGTTTAAGTGCTCGTGGATAAAAATTTAATATACTATTTTTGTACACATCCATTATAATTATACAAAAAGTAAATAATTTCCTATCAAGCTTTTAATTGATGAAACATTAATATTGCACTACGGTTTGCATAAATTAATCTCATGCAATCTTTTGATCTTCTAACACTATTCTACCAACAAAAAGGAACTTTTAACACTATCGAGAAATTTAATTTGGCTAGCTGTTATCTTTTCCCTTTTGCTTTACAAACTCATTTTTTGACTTATAAATTGAGTTTATTTTATTAACTTCTCATATCATTATCTCGGTGCATTCACTTGGAGGTCATGAAATTGGAGTATCAAAGTTAATAGTGAGACAAACTAAGAAACTTCAATTAGACACATTTGTTTAGAAAGAACTCAAATCACGTTATTTAATAATGTTTATTTTTTAAAAAACTAATATACTCATAAGGGTTACACGCGCAAAGCGCGTGCTCAGAAACTAGTTAGCTAAAAGCCAAGTGAAACATGCCACTTTGTGGCACTTTGGCTTACCAAATGTGCTTCCAAGGCCACTTAATAATCCGAGCTCTAGGTTGGTTTGTCAGCTTGTATCCCTCTTTCACCTTATATATGCCTTTGCTATGCCCATTCCACCATAAGCAATCCTCTCCTCTCCTCTTTGTAGTCCTTGAAAGTTCTCCAAAAACTTACAAGTCAGTCACTCTTGGAATTTCCCAATCATTTAAATGTCTTCTGAGGACAAATCCCTGCCTTGTGGTGTCCACATTTCAGCACCTGTCTCGTGTTGATGTTGAGCCAAAGCACAGATGTCAGGAAATAAACTTTGTAAACTATCAGGACCCATTCATTTGTCTAACCAAAAAAAGAGTCATGTTGCCGTTATGTACCTTGATAGTAGATTGAATTTTAAGGAATGGACAGAAGAGCCTGATGGATCTCCAAAGACTAACACCATAAGGGATAGTGACTTCTTTAGTTACCCAATTGTCCAGCTCCCCATACTTGTTCTTGATGACATTACACCATAAAGCTTGAGTCTCATGTGGGTATCTCGATAGCCATTTCATCTTAAGAGTTCTTCTTTGGTCCTTAAGGTTTTTGATGCCTAATCCACCCTGTCTTTTGCTTCTGATAATATTCTTTCATTTGACGAGGTGGTAACTTTTCTTCTCCTTATTACCTTGCCACAGAAAATCTCTCCTGATTTTATCCAACCTTCAAACCACTGTATGAGGTATATGAAATAGGGACACCATGTAAGTTGGTAGAGCATCTAGGACAGAGTTTATCAAAGTTAGTCTACCTCCCAGTGACAAATAATATGATCTCCATCTGGACAATCTCTTCTTACATTTCTCCAAAATTGGATTCTAGATATCTATGGATCTTGACTTTGCTCTCAAAGGCATGCCAAGATATGTTGATGGCAATGTGCCTACCACTCCTCCCAGAATTTGTGATGGGTGCTCCATATTGGGACAAAATTAATTGGAGAAAGGTTAGTAATGAAGTAGAGAAAGCTGTTATAGCCCAACCCTTATTTCTAACTGTAGAATGCTTAGGGATGAGTTCCCAAAGTTGGATGCGTTGACATAAAATGTTATGACAGCTAGAAATTGAGATCAGCACTAATAACATGTCCATTGTCTTAATAGTATCCAGTAGGTGTTTGACCTAAATGAAAATGGTGAAGTCCTCAATGTTTAAGCTGATCCACAACTAGTACTAGCTCGCCAGCCTAGAAGACGAGAAATGGCAGAAAATTAGAGTTCGAGATCAACACCTATGTGAATCAGACATTTTGAATTAAAGCTCAAACTATTTAGAAGTTTGAGGAAAAACTACAGTCAAAGAAAAAACTGTTGAACTCTCCAAATAGTTAAAGTGTCATTCTTTTTGGGAACAGAGGGAGTAAGAAAAGTTACTTTTGTACTAATGACAGGTGAATGCAGCATGCCAATCAGGGATGATGTCTTCTATAATAGACAAGAGTATAGGTCCATATTCCTCAGATTTTGTCAAGAAATTCCTGGATTTGGCCCTGAAGTGTTCACTGGATGAACAACAGGACAGACCGCTTATGCTGGAGGTGGTGAGAGAGTTAGAGGACATAACTTGCATGCTTCCAGCAATTGACAATAATAATATTGCACCCGATTTAGATGTTTCCACATCACCAACTTCAGCTTATTCCAGAAACACTACATCTTACACGACCATGGAAGGAATTGAGCTTGTGAGCGGTGTCATTCCCTCCATCAGGCCTCGTTGATGTTTTTAAGGACTTGCTATATACCCTTCATTTACCAACATGTTAATGGTCAAAATTCTGAAGTATTAGAAGTTCAGTATTAGCAAGTCTGAGGTATGTAAATATATATATGCAGTTTGAATCAATACTGAGAGGATAAAAAGACTCGTATATATTGGTTATAAAAAAAAAAAGACTTGTATATATGTTGTTGTTCCATTCAGAAGAGAAGTGATTTTATCATATCATGTAAGAGTTTTTTTAAATGAAATACAGAAAACAGTTTGTAGTAATCAAGTACTGAAAATATTACCAAAAGAATGTGTTCTAAAATCTCATGTTATTGAACTGTTTTATTCATCATTTTTATTTTTATTTTGTTTTAGAAATACGATAGATTTAACGTCTAATTATTTATTACACAACAATAACATACCCGGTTTAATTAGTTATTACACATAATTTGAAAATGATAAGGTCCTACTATATTCTTTTAGGGAGAACTCATATAAGTACAACTCATACACATACATTGCAATAGAATGACCAATTTTAACTTTGCAAATCTGTAGCCCAAAAACATTAGGCCTGGGTTCGGAAAAGAGGATTTTCTGTTGTTCTTTTTCAAATATTCAAGTGCAAAGTTGGATGATTTTCCATTTTTCTCCTTCATGTTCGTATACATTCTTATTCTGGCTATAATTTTTTTTTTAGCAAATCCATAAATAATACAATTTGAAAATCTTGTCCAAGTTCCAAATGGAACAAAATCAAAGAGAAAAAATTAAAAAAAATTGTTGCAACTTCGTGATTTGGAGAGAGATTAACAAGGAAAGTCGATTAATACATAGATTGTACGAGAAAAAGTAAGAAAACATACCAAAGATGGTTTTTAACATCATATGTAGAGTACATGTATAATGTATAACTTGTATAAATAATACAATACAGAAAAAATATATATTGCATAAATACACAATTATACACGCATTATAACTTTGTATAATTATATATGGAAACTAGATTTCATCTTCAACTTTGTTTTTCAACTAGTATGATTTTCAAGATCAACTTTTGTCAAACATTCAAACTCCATCGACATAGCATATTCTAGAGTCAAGTTACTGCAAGTTTTTTCAATAATTAAAATTTCATCAAATAGTTTTAGAGTAATATTTTCCACATCTCATTCTTGTAGTTAGTTATGAAATCCTTTTCATTTTTCTCCATCATTTGTTCTCATTGAACTTTTGTTTTAAATTTCTCATCGACTCATGAAGAACTGATTCTGTCATATTTGGAAATAGCACTTCTATTTCTCATTTTGTGGTACCATTAAAGCTTGCACCAAATTCTAACCACTTCATACTCCTGCTTTCAAGTTCAATCATCCTCTTGAAGAATATGGTATTATAGTCATGAAGACATTGAACTTTATCATAGACTCCAATCTTCACACTTCCTTTTAGAGAGATTTTTCTGAAAATTAGAGGTCTAATTTTGTTGATTTGGGGTCGACTTTTCAGGAATCAACCAACAATTGCTCCTTTACACTGACTTGCTTGTACAAAAAAAAATTACACAAGCACACCAAATTATTGCAGAGGGGAAAACATGTTGAAAACGACTAAGGCAGCAGAAAGATTATATCAACATCCCAAATTTTGAAATATTGTCATAGCAAACATTGAATATGTGGTGAGCTACATAAATCTGAACAAATGAACAAGCTTGAAATAAAATGAATACAATTGTTAACCTATCTACCAAGTTGTGAATATTACAGCGGTTTGACAATGTGGTTGATTCCTATTCAAGCTTCTTAAAAGAATACTGTCAACATCTGGGCACTCGTGCTCATTTAAAAATTCAGCAACAAATGTCTTCTGCAATGTCTTAGGTATATAACCGTAGCACTGCAAGACCAACAGCCGAGATAGAGACAAGAGTACCTATACAGTATTTAATCACTTCATATTTTGCAGCTTCAATTTGCGCCCTCAATGCATGAATTTCCTATATATGGATCAAGCAAGAGAAAAAGAAAAGATGTTCACAAGATGCATTGAGTTTAAAGAACGTTCATGCTCAAAATATACAAGATCCAACACTTACCCGATCAAGCTTATTTGTAAGATTTGTAGTTTCTGCATTTTGATTGGCAAGCTCATCACGGATGCGTCTACACAATTAAGAATGACCACAATCAATCATCAGGGAGTCGAAAAATGAACGAAAGCATTCACTAACATCTAAAACTCTTCAAGCCTTACCCTCTTTCAAGATTTAAATCCAACCGTTGGCCGGCAGTAAGCTTGTCAACCTCATACCTGCATGAACAAATAATATTGGTTGATGAAACTGGCACTCAAAAGTAGAATCATTTTTCCAACAATTCAATTGTACCTTAGTTCACTGCGCATTTTTTCAATGTCATTCCGAAGCTTTTCAAGTTCACGTTGCAGCAGAGAAAAATGATGTTCCTGCAACATTTTTTTTAATCGGTATGAATTCCATTCGTCAAACTCAAAACAATGCTCATTTGGGGGTAGATCAAAAACATATATCATGAACATATATATTATTAGCACAACCATGATGCAATAATCATCGGTCCAACACTGAGTTTGAAGTAAATTTTCCTCCTTGATCACCCAATGTTAAGAGAATTTTGGGAAGGGTTAGATCCATGCAAGAACAAATTCAAATTGACATGTGTTCTCCTATCTGTCTCACACTGTGTTGAACACAATATTGTCATACAGGCAAGGTTGAAATTTCTCCCAAGCCCATCATAGCCATATATGCCATCAGTAACACTCATCTCACATTGTCTATCAGAAGGAAAATTAGTCTTGTGTTGATGATTTCCAACATCCTGGATTAGTCAAAGTAAATAAGCTGGTTGCTCCTAAAAGATGCTTCCCGGTAAGCGAAACAAAACAAACTGCTGTGATATCTTTGAAAAAGTTGTCTCAAATCAGACAATCAATTTGACTCACTGACCACAAATCAAAATTCTAAATACTTATGTCATCCTTTCCCGGGGTGGCCAACTAGCCTTTTAGGCTGTAACCCTTTTGATCCCTCAAAACATTGAGGCTGCAACTCCTTCCTAAAGTATATGCAGCTATCAGAGGCTGAGCCAAAGCTCCATTCACAACCAACTAGTTTTAATTTTCATACTTGGTTGATATAGTAACAAGCTCATCACGGATGCGTCTACACAATTTAGAATGACCATAATCAATCAACAGGGAGTCGAAAAATGAACAACCTAATCATTCACTAACATCTAAAACTATTCAGGCCTTACCCTCTTTCAAGATTTAAATCCAACCGTTGACCGGCAGTAAGCTTGTCAACCTCATACCTGCATGAACAAATAATATTGGTTGATGAAACTGGCACTCAAAAGTAGAATCATTTTTCCAACAATTCAATTGTACCTTAGTTCACTGCGCATTTTTTCAATGTCATTCCGAAGCTTTTCAAGTTCACGTTGCAGCAGAGAAAAATGATGTTCCTGCAACAAATTTTTTTTAATCGGTATGAATTCCATACATCAAACTCAAACCAATGCTCATTCGGGGATAGAACAAAAACATATATCATGAACATATATATTATTAGCACAACCATGATGCAATAATCATCAGTCCAACACTGAGTTTGAAGTAAATTTTCCTCCTTGATCACCCAATGTTAAGAGAATTTTGGGAAGGGTTAGATCCATGCAAGAACAAATTCAAATTGACATGTGTTCTCCTATCTGTCTCACACTGTGTTGAACACAATATTGTCATACAGGCAAGGTTGAAATTTCTCCCAAGCCATCATAGCCATATATGCCATCAGTAACACTCGTCTCACATTGTCTATCAGAAGGAAAATTAGTCTTGTGTTGATGATTTCCAACATCCTGGATTAGTCAAAGTAAATAAGCTGGTTGCTCCTAAAAGATGCTTCCCGGTAAGCGAAACAAAAAAAACTGCTGTGATATCTTTGAAAAAGTTGTCTCAAATCAGGCAATCAATTTGACTCACTGACCACAAATCAAAATTCTAAATACTTATGTCATCCTTTCCCGGGTGGCCAACTAGCCTTTTAGGCTGAACCCTTTTGATCCCTCAAAACATTGAGGCTGCAACTCCTTCCTAAAGTATTTGCAGCTATCAGAGGCTGAGCCAAAGCTCCCTTCACAACCAACTAGTTTTAATTTTCATACTTGGTTGATATAGTAAAAAAAAAATTATGACCGTGGTGTCCGGGCTTAGCTTTCGCACATCTCGACTAATTCCTCGGAATACTTGTTACCTCCCACCAGCAAAAGGTACCAGGTAACTATCCACCAAGGCTACGAGATGAGAAGAATCACCTAGTGTCCACCAAGGCTACGACAAATGAGTGTCCACCAAGGCTACGACAAATGAGAAGAATCACCTAGTGTTTTTTTCAACCTGAGACCTCATGGCTCTCAACCACTTCATTGACCACTAGGCCACACCCTTGGGTACGGTTGATATAGTACTAATTACTAGAAAGATCCAGCTGACCTAAGTTGTTCATTTGATTCGACAATTTTACTTCATCTATTTTTTTTAGTCATTGCTTCTTTATACGACCAGGTTAGGATCATATCATGTCTTAAAGTAAAGAATAACCATTGTTGATCTGTATTACAGGTCATCTTTTTTTTTTGTTGAACATATGAGAGATATGATTAGAATAAATCTGATCAGCCAAGGTAATGAGGTACTCCAAAATCCAAGTGATAACTAAGCCTCCTCCCTGAGCAATGGTACTTCTTACAAATTAATCATCTTTCAGATGCTGTTACAAGTGTCAAAGGCAGTCAGCTTTGATGAATGAAACTCAAAATTTTCAACTACCTTCTCATCTCTCTCCACACTATGGCCTAATATTTTTGATTGATCATCCTAGTCCAGGATGATACTTGTAACAGGGGCATACAATGATAGCTTCATCTCTGCTTGAAGCCGATCTTGCTCAAATTTCTTGAGCAATTGCCTTTGCTCCTCAATAGAGGAGGCTCTTTGACGATGTAAATTTGATCTCAACAGTTATAACATTAAGTTCTTCTCTCTAGATCTCCTGATCGAACACTTTCTGCAACTTATCTTTTCAGCATCTGCAGCAGCTTCAGGTTGTGCTTCTGTTGTTCTCTGCTATAACTCTGAACGGCGCGGTACTCAGAGTGGCACTGTGATTGAATTAGATTGCTCTATGTACACTGTTTCAAGAAGCTGACATCTTTATCATCTTCCAAGAACTGAACAATATTGTTACTAAAGGAGATCAGCTTCTCCACATCCATGTTACTGGACCCATCCACCATTGTATGTTGAGAGAAATGAGTCTGTATTACAGTTCTACTTAAACGGCAGTATAGCCAAATAAAACGCTCTTCATCTGCAATATGGTATCACTGATTTGGTGTCTCCATTTCCAAGCATCCATCATTGTATCTTGAATGAACGAGAATAACCTCCTCCATTGAATGAAGGAATGATCTCTGATGATAGAGTTTATGTTCTTTTTAAGTAAACTAGTGGCAAAATTGTAGGATGTTATGGAGTGTTACACGCTAAATCTTCTTCCGTAAATCATCGAAACACAGACTTGAAAGAATCTATATTTAATTACAGTCTCTTACTCCTTATGGGAGTTTACTAATGAAAAGAAACAAACGTTTGTATGATCCACGCCTAGCTTGTGAAAATGAGAAATGTGTCCATTTTCAATCAACTGCTAGCACAACCTTATTCCTGACAGGAATTTGGTGCATACTGTAATGAATAATTGTTATCCAACACAAGGTGATGATGACTCAATTCAATTGCCTTTTGAAATTGTAATATTTCAGCATATATATGTAAAATTAGGAAGAAACCCTCATTCACTCTAACCAGAAGGGCATTTGAAAATATTCAAGCAAGTAATTGTACTATTTCACTAAGCTTTAACAATTTCAGCATCAGCTGATTTAAATTATTATGGCCAAATAACGGAGACCAAGAAATGCACAGGTCAGCATGTGAGTTAACGGAAAATGTTCTTGTTATTTGGATCATTGGGTCAATGAACTGCCTTATTTAGGTGGGCAAATGAAAGTAAAAAATCATCATGAACCATAATTTCTGCAAGAAATGATAAGAGAACCATAATCCAGCCAAGCCGCAACTATACTAGTAATACTTAATCCATAAATCAAAGGTGCAGCAATTGAGATTGGTCTGTCAAACCAACCATCGAACCTCCCCCACCCACCCAACCCCCCAAAGGAAAGAAAACCCACAAAGAAGCAAGGAAGAGATGTACAGGACTAGAGTAAAACCAATTAGGTGAATTTACTTTAGAACCCAAGGCAGATCAAACTCAATACCATAACATAGAATCTCCCCTTACATCCTGATGTGGGAGGTAGAAGAATTAACCACTATACTTGTCATATGCAGTGTTGTCAAAGGCATGCTAAAGCCCTGAAGCGAGGCAAAAAACATGTTGAGCACTTCACCTCACTTTATGGGTGCTTCAGTGTTGTTATCAAGGCTCCAAGACATACTTTTCCATGCCAATGAGTGCAACCCTTAACATGTGACTAGGGGTGTGCATTTGGTTTTTCGGTTTGGTTTTGCACTATTCGGTTTGGATTTTTCGGTTTTTGGCTTTAAAAAGTGTAACCCAGTCCGATCCAAAATAAAATTGGTTTGGTTTGGTTTTCCTCTATTCGGTTCGGCTTTTTCGGTTTGGTTATTCGGTTATGTCAATAATTAATAACATAACCAAAGTAATAATATTTAATCCCTTAAATATACTTGCTAATATAAATTATAAGTAAAACTTTAAAACACAATACTTATAAGTATACCTAATATAGATGTTCAAACATAAAATTTAAAGTTTGCACCATGTGATGACCTCAATTTCGTATTCTGTCTCTTTTCTTTTCTTTTCTTTTTAGATGAAGTAATTGATTCCATTCATGGAATCTAGAAGATGCAAGGTAGTTTTCTTTTCTGTTTTTTGATAATTAATTGTCATGAATCTGGAAAATCCAATCAATCTCTCGGATGCTGCTTTCAACAACAGTTTCATATTCTTTCACAACTCACAACAAACTAAAGCTTTTCCTACTGAAGTTATCTACCTCACAGTTAACATCATTGAAGAAAAATATCACTGGTATGCATTATCACGCCTCCATCTACAAACTCATTAATAAAAGTCAAAGCACCAGAGAATGGCTAGGCAATAAAGGTCTTAACAACAGCATGAATATGCTTTTTTTTCATTATGTAGAAAAAATAACTGGGAACAACAGCTTGTATATGTTCCGGGACTACATACAACAGCGTACAAAGATAGCTTACTTGTCTATCTAGGCAGAGAAAATCATCTATAGCAGATGTGACTAAGGGCAAGCTAATATTCTACAAGCAGAAGAAATACATTACACCTCCCCTAGCACAAGACAGAGAATAACTAGATGCACAGCTGAAGACTTTTTAGAATACCGATATGCACAACTAACAGAGCTTCATGACAATTTTGTACCTGAGAACTTTGTACTTCAGACTTGAACTTGGAGAGGTTGGCTTCTTGAATCATCTCAGACTACATAGGCAAAAATGCACAAAACAATTATTCAGCAAAGTGGAAATGGGCACATTGTTTACAACATAAGATCTTGAGTAAAGTCTTAACTTTCTGCTATTTCAGCTCGTGAAACAAAGAATAGAGCTACATTTTCCAAACTGTCATTCAAAACTTCAGTCTTAGCATCTCATCTTTGTAGTCCAAAATCCTCCCAAACTCAAGAACATAGTCACCCATTAACTCCTGTAATACTTTGTTTCTTGCTCTCCTACACACTGTTCTTCCAACATATAAATCCAATTCTTTTTTAATAAGCCCTTGAAACTCAAAGATTCTAATGTCAGGTTGTTCGTTTATCCTTTCACTGTAGTGACTAGATAAGAACTTGCTATTACAAAACTTGTTCCTATTAGTAGGATCACATTTGTGAACTGGATTGTATGTCTTTACAACAAAATTATCTGTCCTAGAATCAAAGCTAGCAAATAAAACCCAAGGACAACCAACTGTACACCTAACCCTTACCCTTGTTGGTTCATTAATATACATTTCAATTGCAACATGTTCAGCAACAACATATTTGGTAACAGCAGATCTAAACTCATTAACATTTTCAAATACAAGACCCAATTCCCACACTACTTTTTGAGAAGATGCATCAAATACAACTCTATTCACCTTCTTTCTCCTTCTTGGCTTAACTCTCTCTCTTTGTTGAACCTCTTCTTCATCATCACTGAAAGCATCTGGATCTGTTTCAAAACTGGCAGCTTCATCTGAGGGATAATAAGGCTCATCACCAGCTAACTTGCCTTCTAAGTTATTTCTATTACCACCTGTAGATTCATCATACCCAGCATCTGGCCCTTTTTTTTCTGTTCCTAACTTGACATGATCAGGCAATGGAGCTCTTTCTCCCCTTTTCCTTCTCTTTCTTTTACTCTTTTCCTCCCTAAAACTTCTTAGTTCATCATCTACATCACTCCCATTAAATCCCCCCCCATTCAATGATTCTCTATCTGAATCTTGTTCATTAGAAGGATGGACAGGGTCAGGAATTGGATCAGAGGAAGGATGAACATGGTCAAGAGTTGGATCAGTAGAAGGATGGATAGGGGCAGGGGCATAAGCAGGGGCAGGGTTTGAGGCAAGGTTTGAGGCATTTTCTTGGGCCTCATATGTTGGTTCTAATTCAGCATTAAAAGATGCATTAGGCCCACTGTTTTGAGATGCTCCCTCACCTACTCCACTTTCCCCATATTCCAATAAAGGTGGGACCAAAACAGGATCAGCAACAAAGTGACACACAAAACAGTCCAAAATATCTCCATGACTCAAACACTCAGCAATTAAAGTAGTATCATAGTCAGATTTGATTTCTAACATAGCAGTACTTCTAGGAAGTTTTACATACAACACACATTGTCCAGGTTCATACCCCAACTCTTTCAGACAATCCCTCAATTCAAAATAAGATAACCTATCTATATCAACATCTAAAAACTCATAAACTCCTCCACCATGATATGGTTTCCCCTTGTATTCCTTTTTTCCAATCTTAATAACACCACCGTGGTAAAATCTCAAATGAATCGGATTGGGGTCTTTTATTACGTGGCTTAACTAGGAGGCGAGTGGCTTTCACTCTAGGCATAATGTCCTCGGTTGGGTGACGGAAGGGGGAAATAAATATACTTTTATGTACTTAAGGTGTGTAATAGGTCACCCCATTAGTTCAAGTGTGTAAATGACTTTTGGGTATACGTTTAGGGGGCAATTTATGCCTTTTGCCTTTTTCATATGTACATGGGATGTTTGGAGGATATTTGAGCCACATTTGGCACTTAGGCCCCTTGGCCAATCTATCAGATTTCATAAAAGACTATTTTATATCCATTGCTTTTTCTTTGATGAAAAGCACTTACATATGTTTACACTGAATTTTGATTTGCCATAGGAGAATTGGCATGCCTAATGCACAACCCCTTTCCTCTTCAGATTCAAGTTATGAGGCAACTGGTACATGCCAGTATCCTTTTTTTCGACTCCTGGAGACATAAGGAACACAATTACATTTAAAGGTTTTGTTAAATAATAACACACACAACATTGTTTTTATATGTGCTCAATTTCGATTTGTGTTTGAAGATAGATAAGACTCATCTATATAACATAAATTTTGGTTTCACAAGCATATATTTATAATATAGCAGAGCAGATCAATTAGAAGGTACTGCTAACCTGAATCATAATAGAACATGGAGGTGGCATGTGAAACAATGGACTTGTTCCAGAGAAATGGAAATGCACCTTCGGCCAAGAAGGGACGGCATGTGAAACATTGGTCCTGACATTTGTATTGTGGTTTCATGAGCATATTATTTATTATATTATTTATATGAGTAAAATACATTTATTTTCCTATTCCAACACTCATATCCGCACTCGAATCCTTTCTTTCCAATCATAAATTTATGTGTGATGAACAATCCGACCTCTAAATCTGCACCCGAATCAAATACTGGCATGAATGTGGGTGTGAAATCCGAACAACATAAAGTAGATGAATGTAGTCATTTCAATATTGATTGAGCACATTTATTGCAATTTAGCAATCACATTTATGATTTATTCATAGAAGTGCAAATTTACCTTCCCTTCCACGACTCTAACATTACTCTTGAAGTTGTAGGATATTATCATCAATAGTTAAGCAACCCACTTAGCAAACAAATTGATAGTAAGCATGAATACCCAGTTTGAGCACAAAAGAGACGAACAGGTTTAAGGAAGATGGATACCCAACTTGAGATTGAAAAAGAATTGGGTAAAAAGTGTAAAAGAATCATATACTTAATACGGTGATATATACCTGCCAAGATGAAGAGAATTGAGAGTGTGGTATGAAATTAAGGAAACAGTGCGTCTATTGTTTGTTTGGAATGTTAGAGAAGAAGACCGATGATTCTTGATATGACAGTGTGAAATTACCAAAATAACCTTGGCCGTTCTCTTCTTCACATTCTGCATCTGCAAATAACGAAGAGCAGAAGCGAATCAAAATTTAAATTTGACGGAGTCAACATTTAGGTTCTTGCAACTGAATGCATCTCTTCTGAAATTAGGCGATCAAAATTCAATAACTTTTTGAAATTTTAGTGACTTTTCACATATAATCTATACTTTAATTCAGTTTGAACCCATTGATTGTATGCTCCATACGCCATCGATGCAGAGAGCTACAAGCTTTTTCATGTTTGTTTGGAAGGTTAAAGAAGAAGACTCATGATTCTAGAACGTGATACGTCAGTATGAAATTACCAAAATAACCTTGGTCGTCCTCCTCTTCACCTTTCTATATAATACTAGATGAGTGTTGCCCGTGCTAAGCACGGGCCCAACGTTTAAAATGTTATCATAATTTTTACTTCTATTTTGATTTTAGTATGAAATATATTTGAAATTGAACGCAGTGAAAAATATTTTTAAATAACCTTAATTTCAAAAAACACAATGTCCATCATTTAATAAACGAATCATATTTCTTAGTCTGCACAATAAAAGAATCCACATGGTATAATATATAAGCGAGAGACAGTATTATATTTCTTTCAAGTTTCAACAATTAGTTCAATATTAAGTTGGGCAAACATTCATAATTTAGTATCCTTGTGCAAAGTTTATCAATATATATATATTATAAGAAGGTGATCAATTATTATTACATAGATATTAAATGCACGACAGAAAATCTACTTGTAAAGCACAGTTCGTTGTTATTCTTTAAAAAATAAATGAATAAAAAAGTACTATTTAAAACAATTTTCTATAATTAACTTTGATTTTCATGGCAAAAATATATATGTACTATATTCATGTGGCCATATTTATCCTCTTTAACCCCACAATTAATTACCTCTTCTGGTGTTTTAATATCTTCCTCCAATTTACTCAAATTACAAATCCTTGGATCTCTCCTTATCCAACATTTATTATGCCAATGTTCTTTCATACTCTCAAACAATGGGACGATGATTGGTAACAACAAAAAAATCACCATTCCAATTAAACTCAACAAACTTAGCAATAACTTCGAAATTGCAGGCTTTAAGCTAGTGGTGACATCATATATCCCCGTTGAAATAGTTATAACAAACATAACTCGGAACCCATCTGATAAGTTCCTCGATTTACCAATCTTCATATCCCGAATAAAACACATGAACTTTAAAGTGCAATAATACAACTAATTTCTCCCATTCCACAAACAACTTTACTACAGACAGGTATTCATTAAATACTCTTCAATTGTTAATACTAATCATACATACAAATACATGTTAGCAAAAAGAGATTGTGGCTACTTTCCCTGCACATTCGATTTAAAACAATAGGATATGAAATTTAGAAAAGTAGTGGCAGTAATGGATGGAGTAACCGCACGGTTGCGACGTATAATTTATAATGGACTTAAATTATATTGCAATGAGAAAATTACTAATTTAAACACATTATAGCTGCCAAATTTGTTCATTACATATTCATGTGAATGTCATACTACTGATTGTTGAACTGAGATACTTACATAGTTTAACATTTCCATATGTGGGAGTGCTAATTACATAGATTTACATACTTTTTTAAATTAGACAAAAATATATGCATTTTTCATGCTTGGATCTTCTGGACCATCTTTGATCAAAATCACCTGTTACATTCAAAATGAGGGATTAAATGTCAGCACAGAATCACATTAAGTTATACAACATATGATATATCTGTTAGCAAGTCTAGGATCTATAAATAATACAATCTAACTTTACAATAGGCACTAAACACAACAACAAACAATGTAACGCTAATAATAGAAGCACTATAAATCGTATGGCCAAGACTTCTAACTTTTAACAAACTTACATATTTTTTCCTTCTCAACAACAACATACCCAGTGCAATTTCACAGGTGGGGCTTGGTGAGGGTAGGAATTTTATAACAAAAGGTTATAGCAAGATTTAACACAATCAACTTCAAATTAATATATATGAAGGTAAGAAAAAATTATTTACCTTTGGAACTTGATGCAACCATGGAAATCTACATATGTGTAAATTTGAATATGAAAGAAATAGAACCATATCAAGAATAGTACATTAAGTTAATGCAAAGATGATCTGCGGCTATTTCAATATGGATCCAGTTAATTTTCATCAAAATACTTTTTTCAATTCAACAAGAATACTACATTATATACGGAAACAAAGAAGCCCATAGTTTAACCTGCATCTATTAGACTGAGAAGGAAATTGTTAATACAAAAGTAGTGTAAGAAAGATTAAATAAACTTTGCCATTAGACATATAAAACATACAGTAATCCATTACTCAAATGCATTTACGCAAAGAATCTATTTTGTGTTCACAATTAATCTATCAAACATTACTAACATTACTGATAGTCTCATAAAAATTAAGGTCACCATTGTAATGTTGTTTAGAGGCCAACGACTTTTATGAGTTATCATTGTCTAAAAACAACGCATGTGGTACCTTTGTCGCTTAAAATTTTCAAGAAGTTCAACTTGCAACATTTTATTTTTGATTAAGCAGGCTTCTAGCAGACTCATTGACATGTTTATAGTCCAAGGCTCCAAGCTAACAAAAAAGATTCTATAGGAATGTGAGGAAGCAACTGCTAAGCACTGATGGGGAGTTCATATTTCTTGTTCAAGGAAAGCAAACAGAATTGAAAGCTAGCATCGGAAGGAATAACTGTGTGACATTCACCCCTCCCTTTGAAGAACCACATCATGTGTGAACTTTCCAAACCAGTGATTCTCCAAAAATCCTATTGATATGCAAGCACATTAAATAATAAAATGAAGCAGCTGCTTCGCTCTGACAGCAGTGAATGCAAACTGGGCATTTTTAAAAGCAATAAACAAATTAGCATTTTAAAAGTAGCATGGCCTTTGGTGCAAAGGCCATTTCTTAAGAAGAATTATGACAAGAAACTGTAGAAACATGAGGAGTTGGAAATGTAACTAAAATTTTGTAACCATTTTCTCCTCACGTGAAGAAGTGAACAAAGCTTTGGTGTTTGTATGTTTTAATTTTTTGACAAACAGTATTGTTATTCAAAGTTAACAAGGTCTTGTAAGATTCTTTTGACAATGTTAACATTGGGACTTAGGACAGGGTTACACCTCCAACCAGTGTGGACATGTTAGGTATATGTTGGAAATTTATATACCTGAGCAGTGATGGAAAAATGGTTGTGCAATTGCATGTGAAGAAACAATTACATAAGCTTTATCTGCCAGAAGGTAAAAATGATAAAAAGGCAGAATCGAAAAGCGTTCCCATATGTTTAATGTAAGCCATCAGCATAACAATCATTATAATACCAGAAAGAATATATTTTCATTTAAGTGATAAAAGAAGTAGCTGTAAAAAAATAACGTTTAACTAACCTGCTATCACAGGAGAAAATATTTTCAATTTCCACAAAAGAAGAGGAACAGAAGACATCCACATAGCAACATCAGAAGCTTGCAAAACACGGCATTCAATGGCAGCAGCAAAAGAGTGCAAAAAATGACCGTTTCGAGAACCACAACAAAAGTGTTCCAACTGCAATTCAAAACAACAAAAGATAATGTGTCTAGAGACTAAATCGAATTCAAAGAAAAAATATTGAAAGATAAGTAAATCCTATTTATATTAGTCAATTGCAAAGATGAAATTATAAACGATGTACAAAATAATTTAAATACCTTTTAATTCTTTTTGATGGGAGGATTTTTCATTTGCATGCTAGGATATTCTTTTTCCCCTGAACTAAGATGTTCAATTGTGCGTTTCTTCGCATCTGTAACATTGACAGTCGTAGATGTCATTGGTTTATGAATTACATCTTGTTTCTCCAAGTAAGACAAAATGAATAATTTTTGTGTTGCATCCATTCTTTTTGTGAATAGCCTTTTCATTTGAATGTTGAATATCTTGCCGTTCAATTGATCTTCCACATTTTGGAGCGATAATGTTTCTTTCTGGAAAAAATGAAAAAAATTTGATTAATAATAACAAAATCATTAATATTTTATATTTTATATGTATAATAATAAGAAAATAAAGCGAACAGACAAATAGAAAGAGATTGAATATTTTTAGCATAAAAAAAGATGATCAACAACAGTAAATATTAAAGTTGTTTTTAAAGGAAAATCAATATCTCTATGTTTATGTATTTACATCTGAACTGAAATTCAATATTAAAGGTCTTTCAACCAATCAGAGTTAACATGCAACAGTTCTAAAACTGCCACTCCTATTGTGGTAGGTACGCATGACAGTTTATGTACAAAGCGCTCAGCCAATGGGTAACCATGTGAGATGGATAAAAGTCAAAAAAATATATACAATGATAATATTTTATAAAGAAAGTTGACTGTAAACAGATAAGAAAAAGTATAAGTTAGGTGCTAGAGAAAAGAAACACGAACATAAGATATGAAATTTTGATTGAAAAGAGTACACTAAACACTTTACAGAAGGAGATGTTGACGACATAATGTAAGAGATACACACAAGTATGTAAAGTTAAAACCTCTTTTAGAGTTAAGGCATGACCTAGAATCACATGTTCCTACTATAAAAGTTTTTACAATTTACATGTACATAAAAATAGATCTTTATTACAAATTCTTTCATGCTAGAGTTCTAAGCTTATAGAGTTATAGTATCCTTTTCAAGTTAAGGAAGTCATATGTTCAAGAAGTAGGATGCAAGTAGCTCATAAGTAATAATTGCTAATGAAACTTTTTGTAAAAAGATGGAGTTTTATTCATCTGTGAGTTCACTTGTTTTTATATTAAAATCACTCTCAATGTACAATGTCTTTTACTTTTTTTCTCAAATTTCTCGTTGTTCTTTTTTATGTCTAAAGTTGATGTCATTATTGTTTTGTCTAAACTATGAAAATACAAAATCACAACAAGTTCTTTGTGATTATTTGGTGAGAAAATAGTGATATGTACCTTGATGAAGCAAATTTCATAAATCTCTTCTGAAGTGAGGTGCAACATTTTCTCTGCAATTTCATTCGAAACAATAGCTGTTGTCCTTAATAGTAACTTCAAATTGACATCTGTTTTGATAATCAATGAAAGAATTAAAAAAATAATGGTTAGTTAAGACATTTATTTCTTTGAAAATAGAAAATAAATCTTTTTAATTAGTTATTATTAATTTTGAATAAGAGCAAATATACCTAGGAATAAGATGTGTGGATTGGTGACAACTTGTGCAGTAGATTTCCCTTCGTATACTTGTTGTTCTTACCGGAGGTTGTGCTTGGATGTTAGCCACAGATATAACCTCATCCTCAAATGGAATCAACATAATAGAGCCTATTGGAGTTGTACTTTTCATCTTATAAGCAACAAGCTTTGTTTCAATTGTTTTGATCCTATAACCAAGTAAAATTATGAAAATGTCTTGTAGAAAGATTAGGAAAAAATAAATAAAAGTGAAATTTTAAAACTTTGTGATTTTAATAAGATTAAAGATGTGTTTTATATCTCAAAATATTTTGAAATTTCGATGCATTAAATAAAAAATGTATATTACCACGTCCTTAATTCGGCAGCCTGTGGATATGGAGGATTGATTTCAATTGTTGTATTGAATTTGCTCGTCAAACCAACGAATCTATTTGACGTTCCTACATGCATTTGAATATGTAATTTTAGTTTCATCATGTCATATATTTTTCAAAAAGGAAAAAATAAATTTATTTGCACTTTTACCTGAAGATGATTTCCCAATTCTCCTAGCAAGAATGATCGGGTAATCATGAAGTTGGTTGAAAAGTTTAACTCCCTCATGATCAATGAAATCCTCCCAAAGTGTCAGTTTTGTTGGTTTTTTCTTGCATATGATTCGAAGGATATTTTCAAATATTAAAATAAAGTTACAGAAGATATGTGATATTGTAAAAACATTATAAATAATAAAATTCAAGTCAGATTATTAGTAACAAATACCAAGGATGGCCTAAAGTTTGTCTCAGTGTACTCTCAATTAGACATACAACAAGATCAAATGAAGATAGACAAAGAAACTTAAGGACAGAACCAAGAACATGAAAAAGATAATGAGGAACATTTGCCAAATTCCTTCCAGGCAGCAGTACCCTCGGCTATTTCATTTTCATTGGGTATCATTGTGCCCATTTTTAATGCTGCATTTATACCAAATTACAAGCTAAGGCTGGCTGTGAATGTGGCTGCAATGACCTTATGATTGTTACTATGTGGAGGAATTGGTACTTTGTTGAGCACAAGTCCTATGGTGAAATCTTGTCCAAGAGTTTTATTGGATGCAGGATGGCTATGGTCATTACCTTTTGCCAAAGGAACAAGTCAGTCTAGCAAATTGGGCTTTACACTGTCATAGGAAAAATTCAAACATATGGCCAAAGAAACCACAAGTGGTGCACTAATATAGTTTCCAACAATTATGGAGTTGGTGTATGATGGTCTATACATGTATGGGTCACAAGCAGGTTTTACAACCAAGAAGAGGTAAATAAATGGTAAACATATAAAGTTTACATGTTTGACAATATGTGACTTTTCCATAGTTACCATTCAATTTGGTGATCAATTGGAGAATCTTTTCTCACTTATATATAATCTCATAGTCAGCTTAATGTTCTTTAGTGTAATAGCAGTAATAATTTACTTCTATTCCTGCTTCTTTCTTTTTATTATACTTTTGTCTCATTATCCTTGTTTAGGGGTTCATTATATTTGTTATATATTTAAGTATTCACGTAGATGATGACATAAAACTATATGTTTGAGGGACATTCTTTGAAGTCATTGATATTTTGCTAACATAATCTATTAGGCCATCATGGCCAGCTTTGTCTGAGAATATGCGCTAAAATAACTTGTTAAAGCATGAATAACAAATATATAGACAGTGTATTCATCATAGACTCATAAGACATAAACAATTTATTCATCACACGACATATTTCGTATACAAACAGGTTTACATGTATGGGTCACGAACAGGTTTACAACCAAGAGGAGGTAAATAAATGCTAAACATATAATGTTTACATGTTTGACAATATGTGATTTTTTCTATAGATACCATTCAATTCGGTCATCAATTGGAGAATCTTTTTTCTCACTTATATATAATCTCATTGTCAGCTTGTTGGTTGAATATTTTGGTCACGATATATATATATTACTACTATAAACAGATCTCTTTGTGCATTCCAAAAAAATACAAATAGTAACAATATATATTTTCTTTTCTGCATTTAAAATTCTACTTATTAAGCAGTTTGATAGTATTAAAAATTGCAGGTTGCATTATTGTGCAGAAAAATACTATTAAGATGTCAAATATTATTGAAGGGAGCACACAACACAAAAATAAATACAAGAAAAGCTCTTAGTTAGCCACCTCTAATATTTTTTCCCAAATTTTAGCTTACTTGTGGTTTTTCATAGAAAGTTTGTATGCCGACAATAACATATGATAGAGGAGATGACATAGGAAGAGTAGAAGATCGAAAACAAGTAATTAGATATGAAAATAAATGACAAGACCGATATTCTATATATATATATATATATATA